TGACCTTGCACGCGACAGTATTCACCCCGTTTTATTTTCGCGCTAAAGAACTGAAGGCGGCAAATTATCTAGCTTCTAAACTTAATAGCACCATCTTTTGTTTATCGTCTCTTCGTACTCTCAAAACATCCCTTAAGGGGTGGGCGTGACGAAATTTGCTGAATAGAACTCTCATGAGTGCCCCTCCTACCGTATCCTCGGGGACCTTATTTTCTTAACTTCGATGAGGTGTGGTTTCTAGTAATGCTTCCTAAGCAATGCTTATAGAGTAAAGGGGGACAAAGAAGCAGTAGAAGGAAGGAGAGGGAAAAAAAATGTTTTTAAGGATTAGCAATTTATGTGCATCAGCATTCATAATTTCGGTTTTGAAATTCGAGTAGATAATTGAGGAAGGAACTTTGAACCGGGACCATGAAAAGTGTGTGTGAAATTGTTCCCATGACTACACTTTACTTCTTTTTTTCGTGTCACGTACCGTTACCATAGCAACACTGCTAAAAAACATTGGTCCCATTTTTTTCTCGTCAAAATCACAAATTTCGCAATTTTCAAACCAATTTATCAGTCGAAATTTTTTTAAAAAAAGAAGAGTTTTATATAAAGTTTATTTCACACAGTAAAAGATTTTTCTATAATTAAAATACTATAAAATTTCATACATTATAATATATAGACTTGTATAGTGAGTAATAGATGTCACGAAATAATAATTAAAATTTGAAATGTTATATTTAATAACTTATTTAATAAACATTGTTTAAATAGCCTATAAATATTTAATAATTATTTTAAACATGTATAGTATTTAATTAAAAATAAATTAGGACAATTAAGGTTTATCACATCATGATTAAATGAGTGGTATTCTGTACATTGCTGTTAATCTAATTTGAACTAATTCCAACTATTCATACAAACTTAGAAGAATTATAATAGTAAATTTATAATGTAAATTTACCGATTTTCTCCTTTTAACAGTAAAATTTATTTATAGAAAGTTTCTATTTTAAGGAATTTCTAAAAGGAATTTTTCATATAATTACAGATCACAATAAGTTATAAATTTACAAAAATTTAATAATAAACTAAAATAGAAAATTTTATTTATTTAGAAATTTTAATATTCGATTTAAATATAAAATTAATACAAAATATTTTACAGTTGTGCTTTAAATATCGATAAAATATGAGCGAAATCTTGATCAAGCTGATAGACTGGTATTGATACATTTATATTGTAATATTGCTTGTATTAAGTTAGCAAAAAGTACAATTAATTAATTATATTTATTGAAATAAACAATAACATTTATTTTCTGAAATAATTATATAAATTTTCAATAATTAAAAAATAAAAATATTTAAAAGTGATCTTTGAAAGTTTAAAATAGCGTCTAAAATGTCTTTCTAGTTCATATTTATTATAGAAAAAAACCGCAGATTTTAATCTATAAATAGATTTTAAACTCGTAACGGTAGAATTTAAAAATTTTTGTATGCAAGTATAGAAAATTGGCAAAAAAAAAACAACTTCTGTATTAATATTACTACGGAAGCCGCAGAACAATTATCAGTCGCTGAAATTATCGAAATTCTTACAAAAACGAGAATTTATATTCAGAATATTTTATTTTTGACCTTTCAAATCTACAATTTTTATCATACAATTCATGCAAATCATGATTTCTGCACGACGTTGCTTTCAAAAGAGTAATTTTAAATGCTTATTTCAGCGTGCAATTGTTTTTAATGTTGTCCTTGTCTGTTATCAAATAAACAAACAATCTTTCCTTTATAGCATATAAAAATCTTTCCTTATTTTCAGGACATGTAACCTTTTTAAACAATGATATCTTCGAATTCGAAGGATAAGCTGAAGTATTTTGTTACAACATTTTTCGATTCGAAATTACAATTAACGTAATAGACTTTGTCTAATTTTTATTATTATTATTCTGTTCTATAATTTTCTAATTATCCTTACTGAGAGGAAATTACATAATAAGATCATAATAAAATGTAAATCATTTAGACTTAATCAAATTACTTTAATTATTATTCTATACTCGATAAATCTTCATATTTTATACTATATTTTAAGATTTAATTGATGTTAATTGTAAGAAATTAAGATTAAATTAATTTATCTTATTTACTTAATTTTATTTCTTTCTTTTTATAAATAAAAAAGTACGTAGATAACATTAACTGTATCTCTTTTGTTAAAGAATTTTAATTCTGTATTCTTGCATATGAAAAAATATCTTGAGAAACAATTCAAAAGGAAGCAATTTCTTCAATCAAGTAATAGTTTGGATTATTAGAGGCGATGCACTGAAGTAGGAAATAAGGTAAAGTGGAAGAAACTCTCAGCACCTCATAACCTTCCGCATCTGATCATATTCAGTGGAAGTTGCGTGCTTAACTAAAAGAGCTTTGCTGCTTGTATGTAACACAACAGCTGTGCTAGGGGCACGCCATATGTTCCTCGCAGATCTAATATTTATTCTAAAGTGTAAAATTATGAAGGTACATAGCCTTCTTTAAATAAAATTCCGTGCGGAGACGAAAGAAAATTTGAATGAATCAAATATAGATGCAAATTTACTCGAAATGATTATAATTTGCAAAATTTAAAAAAGGTTGTGCAAAAAGAAAAAGGAATCGAAATTTCCAGTTATAAAAAGAAAGATCTCCTGTTTTACATTTGAATTTTATATATTAGTTCATATAATCTTTATTTCTTTTCTAACTTGAAATCAAATTATTTAAGATATTGCAAAACCTCCGATGCCAATTGATAAATAACTTAGAACTTTGAATTCTAATTAAGATACGAGGAAAAATATTGGCCTAATCTAATATTTTATAACAATAGATGTTCAAATTTTCGATTATTTTTCTGGATGAAGAACATCGGTGAATCGTATGCACCACACAAACCTCTCTAGAACCGAATTTGTTGTCAGATACCCTGACAAATTCGGATCTACAGGGTAGATGTAGAGCACGACCCTTGAAGTTATATGTATATCTTTCAAAATTATGAAAAAAATATCTTACTTTAAAAGCTAAAACATTTCTTCTTCCGAATAAGAGAAAGAAAAAGGAATAAAAGTTTGATACGGTTGCCAGAAACAACTCGAAAAAGTAGACTACTTGCATAGGTTTACCATCAAAACATACGAGCTTCACTGGTCTTGAGAGAAGGTGAAGACAAAAAACGATGTAAGAAACTTATCTTAAAGGGAAAGAAAGGAGATAAAATGAATTTCTTTTCAACTTCTTGAAACTGAAGCATCATTAATCTAGTTAGGTTCGGACCCCGTTACACTCGAAAGGCTACGAATTCAAGATTCAAGAAAGAAGACTGACGGAAATTCTCCGGAACCGGAAAATAAATAAAAACAATCCGGAAAGAGTGTCAGCCAAGCAGAGACGCCAACTACTTTTGGAATATTTCCAGAAGTTTCGAGTCAAAAGAAAATTTTGTAATATTAGATTGCTTCTTGGCGTTTGATGACAACACAAGACTCAGCATAACTAAATACAGTAGTTACATTTAAACCAAACTTGTCTGCAGAATATTATACGTCAACGATTAGATTATTAATATAAAAATTCTACTTTTAAAAATCATAATTGATGAAGATAACATAAATTATTAGCAAACTATAATGAGCTTACCTTCAAAGAATTATATGTGAAATCCATTTTCATCCATCATTCTTTCAATATGGACAGTTGAATTATAAAAGATTATTATTTTTTTTTAATACAATTTACTTTTGTTTCCTCTTGATAGCATTTTTAAATTTGTTCCAATATATTTAAGCTTCACTTAAATTGAATAAGGTACCATTTATTAACAACTTTTAAATAATGATTTTATTACCTAATGAAACATTATCGTGTGAGCATCAACCTGATAGGCGATATAAAATTATATTTAATTATAAACTTAGGTTTAACTCTTTTTTTATACCGATTCTTAAGATTTAAAACTCTTTTTTTTTTTTTTTTTTAAATAGTCTATGGTGTTACTTACAAATTTACATGAATGGATGCTCTAGTAATCATGCATGCTACAAAATGATTAATCAACTCACTTATAGATCTAGATCTACAAAGTGAAATATGTAGTTTTTACATCAATTATTTTGTTTGTTAGATTAAAAAATTTTTAAATCATAAAATTATAATTTAAAAAGTTTTAATATTTCTACATATTTCCAATTGAAATTTCTTAAAATTAATTTTGACTGTAACGTTAATAATGGAGCATCTAAAAATAATTTACAGCTCAGCACTTAAAATTTGCATAATGTCTTAATTAAGTATTGTTTTATCATTTTAAAAAATGATTAAACCAATTGATAAATAGAATAATTTTCCCTTTTTTTAATGTTGTGAACAATCAATTATTCATTTGTACACCTTTTTTTTTCTTTTAATGTTGTAATTCAGAAATGCTGCAGAATTTTCATAGCGACTAATGATGCCAGTTTTGATTGTATAAATAGAAATAATAACCTATTAGGGAAATCAAAACCCAACTGACGACTGTACAAGAAAAACAACCATATAAGTATAAACAAAAATTATGAGTGGGTGTTTAGGGATATTAAATCAAAAAAACGTCTTCAGAAAACAATGGGATAATTAAAATTTATAAAAATTATATATATATGTGTGATTATATATATATATATTTTAAAAACTTTATTTTTATTTATATAATTCGAAATCGATTTTTTCTTATTTCTTGCTATTTAAAGAGTTAAACTATAGTTTTTATACCTAAAATATTTAAAAATAAATACTATACCTATCATTGAGATAAAATTTACTTTCCAGAAATTTCAACAAAACTATTCAAACTAATTTTATTGATATAAAAAAATTTTTTTTGTTGTTAATAGCATTAAAATTTACTACCGTGATGAACTTTAATGTTTCCGTTGTTTATTGTATGCCCTATTAACCGTCTATAATGAAAGGAAGAAAAGTTTCCAGCTTATCCAGAGGCCTATAGCAGTTGATTGTTCATCTCAACCTACCTAACCGGATCGACCGGAAATAAAAATGCATCAACGGAAATGAGTAACTCTTCAGTGAGAAAGAAGCAAGTAGATCCACAAAGCTAGAGATTCGTATAATATAAATACCTTTAAGGTAAGAAAAAACAAAAAGAAAACTTCTTAATTACATTAGTTATATATAACTTTATGAAAGATAAAATGAGTAAATTAATTATATTATTTTTCCTAATTTTTATTTCTAATTTTCAGCTTAAACTTTTCCCATTTCTCATAAAAATTAATTTTTTTTCAATAATAATATAGCTCATGTTTAAACTAGACCTAACTTTATTGGCCAACTTCAATAATAAACTCGTTATATAGGTCTATGCATTTAAAACTACACACCTTAAAAACTAGAAAGGGGCTAAACAAACAGATGTTAACCTCCTTTATACTTAAATATCATATTTAGACGCATTTTTCAGATATTTTTCCGCTTTTTTGTGTATGTTTAACGTAAAAAAACTCTTCGGATTATTCCAAAAACATAAAAAAAAGTACAATAATTTATGCAGGTGTATCTCGTTAGTATCTAAACCTCTAGAATTATTTATAATTAATTATTTTAGACACTAATTTTGCGTGATTAAATATATATATAGGCCTATATTAAAAGAATTCCTGACAAAATACTACGAAAAGAACCATTCACGCAATATTCTACTATATAGGCTAAAACGAGGCATCATTTTTATATTTAATTGCTATGTAATCTAATTAGTATCTCTATACTTTCATCAAAAAATGTCATATTTATAAATCATGAAAAATAGTTTTTGAATAATTAAAGAAAGCTTACGAAACGTACAAAAGCTTATTTATTCATTTTATATATATATATAGGCCCTATACATATAACTAAGCTAATATGGGCTCAGATGTTTTTGACATTTTCACGCACATCTGGTTTCCAGATATGTCTTTGCAGCATAACAATAATAAAGAAAATCTATTTTGAGTTATGGAAATAAAAGGAATAATTTTTGTACATAACCTATGCTTATTTTGTTTTTCGAAAGTTACAAAAGAGTTTTCGTTTTGTATTAAATCGATTTACAATTTTTACACATGAAAACAATAGGCATATATATAGGCTATATACATACATACATTATTCCATCCTTCAAGCATAAAAATTCCAATTAAACTCAGAGTTGCAGCAAAAATTTATTAGAATTATGAAAAAAAATAATTACAAATCTTTCATTTTATGTAGCCTAAATATTGTAAGATTTTAATTGAATTTTAATCAAAATTCAATTGTATGTTCGGTAAATATTTTATTATTTTTGTATTTCTTTTAACTAATAGTAGATTTATATTGTGATTAATTAAGTTGCAATAATATAGGCACTAGTTTAACGTAGTTTGCAACTTGTATTAATTACTAAATATTTAACAAAATGTATCTCCAGTTTGTTTTAATTAGTTGCTAATAACTGAAAGTTTTTAAAATATAATTTAAAAAATAATTATTATAGTAATTTCACTCCTAACACTTAACTGGATATTCTACAAGTTCAATTTATTTATATTTTTATACGTAATTTTAAATAATCATCTTTTATAGTTAGAATAAGTTATATAGATCTATTTAATTGAGATAAATTCATCCTTATACCAGAATTAAGCCTTAGGCCAATACAAAGTTTAGGCCTGCTATAACTTTCCTAATAAAATTTTCAATAAATGATTTTTTAATACGAAAAATCTAATAAAATGTATTATTAATAATGCTATAGATAACAAAATAGTATAAAAAAATTAAAAAAAAAAAACGTTAAAAACAGAAACAATATAAAACAGATAGCATAAACGTTGGCCTGTATTACGATCTATCTTCAGCATTGAGTAAGTTTCCGGGCTTTCAACAAAGAAATTTTGAATTTCCATTAAAACTGATCGTGAAAAATTACTCGGAACTTCAGATAATTTTTTATCTCGATATAAAAATAGCTCTATAGTATAGTAGTAACAAGTATTAAGTTTGATTGATATAGCTATAAAAATGTTTTCGGTGGATCTGTTGGACATATAGCACGAATGATTCCACAATCCCGAAGCAGAACTTTTGTAGTTCGCGCTGTAAATATAATAAATAAATAAATAAATAAACGATTAGTGCGATATAATCGGTAGTACTAATTAAGTAAATTGTTAAGATCGACCTACCTTGAAACTAATGCTTAAAATTTTGCTTAGACTATTAACAAGAAAGTTAATCTATATTGCACGGTCTGCTGATCGCTTTCAGTCGCTATAGCACTTTTGGGACATTATCCTCGCATGCCTGATCTCATTATGCTTATAACTGGCTCTTGGTGACAACGCATAAACCCTCACGTAGGGGGGCTAAATGATTTTAATCAAATTTATATTATATCTACACATAATGCCTGCGACTTAACTGTGAGCTTAGAGTGTCGACATGGTTTTCTCTTTAATAGGGCCTATTAATTTACATTCCTTTTGATATCAAGTTAAAAATAAGTTATATTATTCAGATGTTATCTACAGGATACTAAGAAATCTATTTTATAAATGCTCTCCAAAGGATTCTTTTCTTTAGAGAATTCCGACAACTCTTTTGTAATATTTTGTATGTTTCTACTTGCAAAATGAAAATTAAATAATATAATAATATAAATGAATATTTAATATAATAAAAGTCTTTTAACATAAAGTTTCTATAAGTTCTAAAATGAATTTCGTAAGTTTAAAATTACTTTCAATCTACGAATTAAATTTCTTTCAGACCAAAGATTGTTTAAGGTTTGTACAGTACGTGATAAACAGTTCAACCTGCAGATTTTCTATAGAAATTTAAATTTAAAAAGGTTATTTAACCTTCTTAACATTAGTTTTATTGCATTGGATGAAAAGTTTGTTTTTCTTTTGTCTTTAAACACCGAATACAGATATAAAGTAAAAAATTTGAATTATTAAACAAATTTCTAACATAGACATTAATTTAAAAATGAATTTATAACTTAGTTGTTTTTAAAGTAAGCCTCTACGATGTTACCGAAACGAGAAGAAAATTTGGGAAATTTTTATCTAAATTGAAGGTAAAACGATTTACCACGTTCAAGAATACCCCACTTTAATGAGGTTTTTATAACCCCTCCCAAAGATGAAAAGGCCCTTTTTCATAATAATATCATATATTAATTCTTAATTATTTTAGTAATTATTATTATATTAGGTCCTAAATGCTCATCAATCATCCTAAATAATCTACCCATCAAAATATCCAGAGTTTACCTTAAACACAGAACGAGAGACATCTTAAATTCTTAACATTTTGGACAGGTATAACTGAAGCTGATGAATTAAATTATGCAAATTATGTTATTTATCTGTGAAATAAATCAAAGAATTGTATTTAATCGGAAAAAGTTAAATATAAAGAAACCAGAAGAGAATACAAAGTAAGCAAACGAGGAATGTTATCGATTTTGTTCGATCCAATTGGATGAATATCCATGATAAAAATGGTCCATCCGATCTAAATTTCATAGTTTTAACGCAGTTTAATTTTCGCTTCCAGTTGCAACCATTCAGATGGTAAAAAAGATATCTTCTGGATTGTCAAACTCATCACGTATTTTCAAACCGGAGTGTAATCCGATCCCAACATTACCGACAAAGTATTTTCAGAATCTCTTTTGTTCTTAGTCTGAAACCGAATTTTATCTCAAAAATGGAGCCATGAACGATACAAAAACGAACGTGAAGTACCTGAAAGGGACGTCAAGATGAGCCTCCAAAAATTCCAATCTAGTAACGAGCGAGGGGTGTTAAAGAAGAGCCGATATTCAGTTAGCACGAAGAAGAAGTTTTTTGTTTGAAGAACGACTAGACTCGAAGCGAGCGGGGGTCTAAAAGACGTTGTCCGCCATTCGTTTGGGTAGAGAGTTCGCGGCTGAGCCCCCTGATTTATTTATATTTTTATACGTAATTTTAAATAATCATCTTTTATAGTTAGAATAAGTTATATAGATCTATTTAATTGAGATAAATTCATCCTTATACCAGAATTAAGCCTTAGGCCAATACAAAGTTTAGGCCTGCTATAACTTTCCTAATAAAATTTTCAATAAATGATTTTTTAATACGAAAAATCTAATAAAATGTATTATTAATAATGCTATAGATAACAAAATAGTATAAAAAAATTTAAAAAAAACGTTAAAAACAGAAACAATATAAAACAGATAGCATAAACGTTGGCCTGTATTACGATCTATCTTCAGCATTGAGTAAGTTTCCGGGCTTTCAACAAAGAAATTTTGAATTTCCATTAAAACTGATCGTGAAAAATTACTCGGAACTTCAGATAATTTTTTATCTCGATATAAAAATAGCTCTATAGTATAGTAGTAACAAGTATTAAGTTTGATTGATATAGCTATAAAAATGTTTTCGGTGGATCTGTTGGACATATAGCACGAATGATTCCACAATCCCGAAGCAGAACTTTTATAGTTCGCGCTGTAAATATAATAAATAAATAAATAAATAAACGATTAGTGCGATATAATCGGTAGTACTAATTAAGTAAATTGTTAAGATCGACCTACCTTGAAACTAATGCTTAAAATTTTGCTTAGACTATTAACAAGAAAGTTAATCTATATTGCACGGTCTGCTGATCGCTTTCAGTCGCTATAGCACTTTTGGGACATTATCCTCGCATGCCTGATCTCATTATGCTTATAACTGGCTCTTGGTGACAACGCATAAACCCTCACGTAGGGGGGGGGGCTAAATGATTTTAATCAAATTTATATTATATCTACACATAATGCCTGCGACTTAACTGTGAGCTTAGAGTGTCGACATGGTTTTCTCTTTAATAGGGCCTATTAATTTACATTCCTTTTGATATCAAGTTAAAAATAAGTTATATTATTCAGATGTTATCTACAGGATACTAAGAAATCTATTTTATAAATGCTCTCCAAAGGATTCTTTTCTTTAGAGAATTCCGACAACTCTTTTGTAATATTTTGTATGTTTCTACTTGCAAAATGAAAATTAAATAATATAATAATATAAATGAATATTTAATATAATAAAAGTCTTTTA